GGGGGGCGGGTGGGGAGAGCGGCGGGGGACTGTGGGTCCCCGCCGGTTCCTTTCAACAACATGGCGGAGGGGCCGGCTGGGGCGGAGTCACCGCCCCCCCACCCCCGGTGTCCGAGCCCGGCGGGGACCGCTCGGCCCTTTGTTGGTCGAGCGCGGCGGCGGCGGCTCCGAGGGAGGAGGGGCGGTGGGAGCTCCCCGCCGCCCCCGCCTCGCCCCCGCCGGGCAGCGCTCCGGGCGGTGTCTGCCCGGGGCAACTTTCCCGCGGCCGCCCCGGCCCCTGCCCCCGCGGGGACTGTGGCTGTGGCCCGCGAAGGGAACTTTGTTATCGCTGGCGGAACACCTCCGTCCCTCCGGCCCTCCCTGCGGACAGAGGAGCCCTTGAGAGCCCCCCAGCTCCGGCCTGGGGTGCGCCGGCAGCGGGAGGAGCAGCAGCCCCCGGACGCTCAGAGGCGGTGCCGCCGCGGAGCGGAGACAGAGGAGCGGGCGGTGCAGATACGTGTTGAATGTTCCACGTAGCGGGAGTGACAAGGGGCTGCCCCGGCTCCGGTCGCGACACAGCACCTCCTCGCCAGGGTGCTCGGCGAACACCAAGCCGTGAAAATTAAATCTTTGGTGAATATTGTACGGGAAAGCGGTTTTGTTCCTCTGGCCTTCTTTACCTATGCTCTTTTGCGAGAGGGATCTGATATCAGAGCTGTGCTGTTGCAGAGCTAATGCATGAAACAGGAGCGATTAACAGTATTCCTAAGTGCAAGAATTAAAACCTTGTCATTTATTTTCTTTTTTTTTTTTCTTTTTTGTAAAGGCTACTTCATTCTGCAGTTTGGGACATATGTCCTAACAGGGCATACAACTGTTAGAGACGTGAAACCTGATTTAGGTTTCAGTTTCATCTGTATTAAGTTAGATGATGACGACAGATACGCAAAATCTGCATTTTATAAACAATCCACTTATTAAATTCCTCTGTAGTTGGGTTATATATTGCTTTGAGTTTTTAAAGAGGACGTGAGAAGCACCACAACTTCTTCAGTTACAGCTTCAATCTGGATCTTTACCATGCTGTTCATAATTCAAACTGGTACTCATGCTGTACCAGTTAAAAAAAAAAAGTTACTTAAATAAAGCATAACTTGCTATACTAAAATATGGTGTTAATCACCCATATTCTTATTGACGATGGTGGAGAATCTCTCATGTGGAAACAGTGAAATAAGCTTAAGTTACCTGTGTGTTCTTGAAAAGGTTCATCAGGATTTAATAATTTAAAGCTTTCTTATGTAACACATTCAATTTAGACGTTGACGGAAATTTTACTTCGATTTCAGCTTTGAACTTTTCCCTTCTAATGCCTCTCATCAATCAACAGTTTTCCCTTAATCTCAAGCACGAAATTAAGGTCTAAAAGCTTTATGTGAAAACAAGGCAATAGACTCCCGTACAAAAGCTTAGGCATGGTAGTGGTGGTGTGCTACCTTTTGTTTAAAAAGGGAGAAATCCTTTCTGTCCAAAGGGAATGGGGAGGGATCCAGGGTTCTTGATTCATAACTCATAGAGAGGCCCTGATACTGGTAAGGGGATTAATTTGCTGAACATTGTGTCTAAGTTGACAAAGTGAAAATAAGGTTTCTGGTTTTCACTGTGTAAGTCTTTATTCTTAGCGAAATTCTGGGGAGTCACCTCTTGGAAACTCTTGCAATCATACAATTGCTTCTAACCTCAAATAAAGATAGCAATCTGATTCATATGGTGGAATGAATTTAAAAGTGTAAATGAAGATCTTTCCTATTTCTGTTTTTGTAACACTAGTAAAATTATAACCTAGCCTTTTAATTTTAACTTTGTTCTGGTTTTTTATTTATTTATTTATTTGAACAAAACTCTTCTAGGAAAGATACACTAGCAATTGTTCTGGTATCCTGCTGTAAGAGGCATGAACATACCTGTGGGTAATGTTACCAATGAAAGGCAAAAAACCTGATAGTGCCATTTGGCACCTGCACTACAGAGAATGTACTACTACTTTTTTGAAGCTCAGATTTTACATGAGGTTTTATCATTGCTTGCAAGTTGAGGGTAGGACCTTAATAAACTAGTTTGTTTTCTTGAGTGCTTCACTTTGGTTGGTAAAACCTGCTGTTTGCAGTGGAAGTTTTACTTAACAAAGATGGATGAAATGTATGTGAAAGTTTTCCTGAAAGCTTGATATCCAGTGCTGTTACTTAATATGAGTTAAACTTAAGAAGTGCATTTGTGAGAAAAATGCATTAGTGAAGGTCGTGAACTATCATGATTTTAAAAACTGTACCTATGTCCCAGATATTTTAAGACCTAAACATTTTTGTATCTTGAGCTAGAAGAGTTCAGAACAGATGATTCAGGTGTATTGTTTGAGGAGATTGAACTAGAGACTCAGAAGCTGACAGCACTGTTCTGTATTATGCTTTTTTGCTTCTAGCAAATTTTATTGCAGATGAAAAAACTACCAGTGAGCACTACAGCTCTCTCGCTCATCCTCCCAAAATCTATTAGTCTCTTGAACAGCATGGCCATTCTCCTTTATCCCTTGAAACTCTGCATCTTGTGGAACCAAGGGATCTAATTGTTCTTGTGAAGTTCTGCTTCTGGTGAAATTTTTGTTTCAAAAATTGTATTTTCCATGAAAGAAGAGTTAAATTCTTCTCTTGTGATGAAATTTTTTCACCTAATGTTGGTGTTGGGGTGCTGAGAGTATTTGTCTTTTTTTGTAAATTTTTAAAACAAAGATAGATTATTAAATAAAGTATTAATAATTTAAAATGTTAATCACTTTTAAAAAGTTGTGAGTTGGGTTGTTTGTTGTTTGTTTGTTTTTTTTTTTAGAGCACCTCACAAGTTTTAACTGCTGTAATGCCCCTTGTTAGCATCCTTCAAGAGACAATATTTCAACATATGACTTCCAATTAAAAATTCTTTGGCTGAAGGTGGTGTTGTATGCTAAACTGTCTGGTTGAAGTAGTTCTGCAGGATGTTAACAAACATTACACAGTGATTCACAGGGTTTTATGTAATTCTAAATGTAAAGACTTTGTGCAATTTTCTTACTTTAGAAAGACAACAGATACAAAAAAGGCTGTTTCAATAGGTAACTAATGGTACAGACTTCTAAAAAGTTAAGTGGATGGGGTGTACCTAATTCTCTTCACATTTTGTATATAGTATTAATATCTGAGCTCTTGGGAGCCATCTTATTTTAAGTCTTGTCAAGCTGCGTGGTTTCAGGGTCTCATGCTGCTCATTTGCTTAACCCTCACCAGGGACTTTTGAAGCTGCAACACCCATGCAAGAGAGGCTTCTTAAAGGGAAGACAAAACTGTCACACTCAGAGTCTGAGCAATTACACAAGTGATTGTGTTCATCATGAGAGGTTAATCCATTTTTAAATCAGATTGAGATATGAGAAATATGTTGTTGATAACTTCTATGACACGATATGTGTCATAAACCACACACACACCCACTTTCAGAACTCTCTTGTCTCACTGTTTGCTTTTATGGTAGTCAGTCATACAAAGTAGGAATGATTATGTAGAATAGTCCTAGTGCACTGAGAAAATGCAATAGGAAAGGAACTAGATCACTGTGTTGACCCAATTTTTGCTCTAGACTATGTCCCTGGTTGTCTGTAAAACTTTCACTGCATTTGTGTAGCTGTCTGTACTGTAGTTTCTCAAGCCTTGTATCTCTTAAACAGATATGACCTTTCATTAGTTGGTAGTGGAGCTTCATGCTAGTGGTTCCATCCAAACACTGTTGTAATACTTAAAATAATTCTCTGACATGGAAAATATGGACTAAGTCTTAAGTAAAAACTTTTTTTCCCTCTTCTTTGAATTTAATAGTTTTGAAAGACCTCTAGAGTTCTTTGTAATAGTAGATTTAAAAGGTGTTTTCCAAATTTGTATTGAAATGCATTTTACCTGAAATATATTACTGGCTCTGGAAGATCAGCTTACATCAGAGTTGTCATTCTCTCATCCCATTCTATTATCAATCCATTCTAGAAATGTATGTATTCATTTGAGTGAACTTGGAGACCTGACTAATTTCTGTCTGAGTTCTTAAAATTACTATAGTGCTTCTCTGAGAAGAAGAGGGACTACTTGGAGACAAAGCAAAAATTCGTATCTCCAAGAGGACAACAGTATGCTATTTTTTTCTTTGATATTAGTTAAAAGTGAAAACTCTTCCTTAGAGGAATGATTTAATTACAATTGGTTTTTGACATCTCCTCATCCCATTGATGTTAAATGTCACCTACTATGTGTTCATGTGGTTGTAGTCTGTTGTTTTACCACAGATAACTGGAGAATGATACATGGGCAAAGATACTCCAATTCCATATTCCCTCGTCCTTGTATGGATTGTTGCTGAAGATGCTGAACTAGTTTTCCTGTTAGTAAAATATGGAAATTCTCCTTTTACCTGCTTGAGTTGGAGGGCATGAAGAGTCATAAGTGGCCAAAGTAGGAGGGGGCTGAAGCATTTTTAATTGGTTGTTGTTTTTTTTTTTTAAGATATGCCCACTAGAGAGCAGCAAAAACCTGTGTTCCTGGGAGCTTTGGCTTATTCAGCTGATTAGGCATTGTCTTCCCCTTCTGTGGGAGGGGGAGAGTAGCTTCAGAGGGAAGTAGTGATCTATTTGTGCAGAGGAAATCATTCTGTTGTGTGTGACAGTGTACCGTGTCTCTGCAGGAGACTAGAAGGTAGTGGCATCAAACAGGAACAGAAGTGTGTATTGTATCAAATTGCTCTAACTGGGAATTCTGTAGCAAAAGAGAGGTGGAAACCAAGCCAATGAGGAAGATAAGATGCCAATGTGTTACTTAGTCATGGTTGTAACAGTGTCTGTACAGCTTCCAAGATTAGGAAAATGAATGAGTATAACAAGGTCAACCCAAACCTAATTTTTTACTTCAAGTAACTTGGCCTCTGTACAGTGACTAAATGTAAATATATCTCACTGAATATCTGTCTTTTGCTGTAGGCATTCAGATACTACACATTCACATGTGTAGTTACAATGAGCCAAAAATACCATTTAAGTAGAAAAAAAGGTCATGGATGAACCAAGTGAGATAAAGGTGTGCTTGTTAAAAGAGTTGCAAGAAAGTGTGTGAATATTTTAGGAAACTTTTCAAGGTTTTAATGGGTTAAAAATAATTTCTTCAGGTGTAAATTGCCAAAGGCACAGCGACAGGAAAATAAATATTAAATGTTCTCATAGTTAAGCTCTGAATAATAACTTTCCTTGCTTCCTTGGTTGGTGGGGGGTAGAGATATGGGTGGGAAATTGCATCTTCAAAAAGTGATGCTGTTAAGATTCACCTTCCCATGTGCCAGTTCTCATTTCATCTACCTTCTAATTACTTTTTTCAATAATCTTCATAATAAATTATTTTGCAATCCCATTTGCGGGTTTTTTCCCCCTCCCTTTTTCTGACTGGTCTATGTGCTGGTGAATCTCTGAAGTCAGGTTATCTTTCCATAGTGGGTCCTTAAAACTTGATCACATCTTCAGTAACAGTAGAAGATGATTTGCAATTATTTGATTTGATTCAAGACCTTGCAGGAAGGAGATGTTTTTGGAAAATGTTTCTCAGAATCCACACTTCGAGATGACGTGTATATATTTGAGAGCAGATCACCATTTATTTAAATCCATGATATACAGTGATAGAGAGGGGTGTAAAATCCAAGGCAGTCCAGGTGGTTGTATCAAACTCTTCCATTTAAGTGAAATGCCAGAGTTCAGATTTGTGGGACCTTTGGCTTTGCCAGCTATTAATCCTCATGGTTTTGGTGAGAGTTTTGTATGTACCCTTGAAAGAGACTTTTTTTATGGCTCAGTACATTTTTTGGTATTTTGGTCATGAATGTTTTAATGTTTTAAATCTTTCTAAATTTCTGTATTTCAGTCTTTCTTTATGCATGTACGCAAGTCCCAGGCCTCTACTGGTGAATAAGTGGAGGCAGAGTGTATTGATATTTTTGTTGTTGCCACTGCACTGTTTTCTGTCTGGCTTTGGTCTGGTAAATGCAGGAAAGAATAGAGAAAGAAATTAGAAGTAGTAGTCTTCCTTCTCCAAGAACTTCTGCAATGCAAAGAATGAAACCTGATCATCCTAGAGATGATTAGCCTGTCATTCCTGCTTCCCTCCCCTCCTTTACTACTGCAATTGATAGCTTTAGTAAATCACGAACTTGGGTAATGTAATACAGCATTTTCCTGTGGCTGCATAAATAACAAGTCTAAACCACCACATTCTGCTTCTGTGACAGGATGTGCTCTCAGGTCATGCAAGGTTTGTGTTTTAGTGAGGATTAAACTGTTATATGCCCTTTTGGCGCTAAATGAAAACCATCAAGTAATGTATAAAGTAATAGTCTTGGGTAACCAGCAGCATCCTATTTGTGACTTAGAAAAGATGTACCTGTGGTTATTGTGGGAAAAAATGGCATTATTTGTATTTGGTTTGAAAATAGCAGAATAGCATGCTGTAGAGAATACAGTGCTGTTTAGAAGTTTGATCTTTAGTGTGAGGAACTGTAATGGAACTTATTTACCTGAAGGATAGGATTTCAGCCTTTCTCTTTTAATACATCATTATGTAAGGAGAGATGACTTCAGCTTTAAATTTTACTTTCTTCTGCTCGTCTCCTAATTTTTTTGTCCCTTGTAGTGTTGTCTTTCAGTGATTTGGCTCTGTGTTTATGTAACCAAAAAGATTACAGACCTCCTAGCATTTTGAATTTATATTTCCTTAGTCATTCAAGTTGTTTCTCAACTCCGAACGTGTACCAATACTAACATTAATGTTTTTTCTCAATACAGAATTAGAGTGTTACTGCCATCTATGTACAAAAGACAACTTTACGTGTGTGACAGATGGAGTATGTTTTGCCTCAGTAACACGAACTGCAGACAAAATAATACACAATAGTATGTGTATAGCAGAAGTTGATCTGATTCCCCGAGACAGACCATTCGTTTGTTCCTCCTCCACCAGAGATGGAGTCTTTACTGTGCCTCATTGCTGTAACACGCCTCTCTGCAATAAAATAGAACTTCCAATTCCAACACCAGGTAATGGGGGTTTGGCTGTTTTTGGTTTTCCTTTGTTTTTTTCAAACAGAAAATTCTATAAGCATGGAAGTTTCAGTTTTGAAGTTTGTAGGTAAATTTGAAGGCCTAAAGTACATCTTATATTCTGCAAGTACAATTTCATGGTATTTGAATACAAATTGTAGTCTTCTGGGTAGGAATGTTAGGGCCAGTTTTGAAGACTTACATGCAAGTTAAATGGAAAGTGTAAGTAAGCACATTGCTTTTTCCTTTGTAATACTTATTTTGATTCTTGAAACAGTTACTGTGCAAAAGTTTTAACAAATACCTTGAAATAATTTGAATACTATAAGTTTAGTTGCATGAAAGGAAAGAAATAGTTTTACCATTTTCTTTAATTTTTACTGTCAGGCCCTACTGCAGAAAAACCAGCTTCTAATCTAGGACCTGTGGAACTGGCTGCTGTCATTGCTGGACCTGTCTGCTTTGTCTGCATTTCACTAATGTTGATTCTGTATATTTGTCATAATCGTACTGTAATTCATCATCGTGTGCCAAGTGAAGAAGACCCTTCATTGGATCGTCCCTTTATATCAGAAGGAACTACCTTAAAGGATTTAATTTACGATATGACAACTTCAGGCTCTGGTTCAGGTAAAGGCACATTTCTGGTGGTTATTACCCTGTGTTTAAGAGCCTTGTAATTCCTCAGGGTTTTTTTATGTTGTCAAATCTACTCAAACTTATAATTAACTGGAGAAATTACTAAAAAAGCAACTTCCATGCAGATTCATTCAGTGTCAGTGAAGATTCAATGTATGGAAATAAGTGAAATAAAAAAAAAATTTAGTTGTTGCTACTGTTCCTTATCATTCTTAGAGTAGCCTGATATATATATATATATATATGTGTGCGTGTGTGTGTATTAAATAATGCAGGGAATATCACAGTCAGCTATTGTAAATGTTTTGTTTCCTGTAAGGCTCAGCCATTTACCTTTTTATTCTGTGCAGTACAGCTAAACTACCATCTTCTATGGTTTTTAGATAATTTGTGAAGGGTTTGTTTTTTTAGCTTTAAATTGGAAATTCATTTATAGGTGTAGCTATTGGTGTATGAAGAATATTCTGAATTCTGAGTTAATATTTTAGGCAGTTATGTTTGTTCTAGGAAGGATATAGGGAAGTAAGAGACTTAGAGATTATGGAGAGTTAGAGATTTACATATCTTGGAATGCAGAAAAATTTTATATATAATTGTTATGCTATTAGAACCATAAAACTCCCTATTTAATATCTCCAGATACAGACCTCTAAAGAAGGCTGAAAAGAAATTCTGATTAAAATTCAAACTTAGTTGTCAGTTGGTCTTTTCATTTGTTATCAGGAACATTCCTTCATTTTCCTTTTGGCTTTCTTCCTTGTGGTGCTTCTGAACCTCTCTTTGTTTGAAAACTCTGGAAGTACTCCTTCAAAATAAGCTCTTGAAAAGCAGAGAATCCAAGTTAGAAGAAACTTATGATTCTTCTTCTGGAGCAAATGGCTAGAAACTACTGACTATTCCCTTGCCTATTTGCAAATTACCCTTTAAGTAAAAGCAGCATGCTAGGGAATTAGCTTTCACAGCTGAATTCAGGGCACTCAAGCTGGTCTAGACTCCCAGAGCACCTGACCTACTATAGTATTTGAGCACTGGCTACTGGTGAATGCATCAGAGGAAAACCAACAAATGTGGTTAATTTTGACTTGCCGCTAAGGAGACTCTTTACTAATTTGCTTTTATGCTTGAAAGACAGTCACATTTCGTGTAAAACAAGACTGGATGTTTCCTTAAAAGGGATCCTTTAACTTCAGCTGCAGTGAGTTCCATGTTGTTGAGCTGTTTGTAAGACAAGGATTGGCCTTATTTACTGTTCTGTACATCACTGTGATTATGGCAGTGAAAGAGGAGATACTTCAGGTCCTTGTTTTCTGTACTGTTGGCTGTGTATATATTTGCAATGACTTGTGTCACTGACTCAAAATTAGTCAGTCAATGACTATATAAATTCACAGTGCCCTTGCACTTGAAATGATAATTTTCTTGTGTCCTGAAGTAAGCCTGCAGCAATTGAATCTCATTGAAATGTGTGTTTTAATCCGGAGCTTGGGTACAGCACATTTAAAATTGAGAAAACTGTACATTTATGGAATAAACTGGGGGTGGAAAAGAGGATTGTGGAAGGGAGAAAAGCCACAGCTGCTAGTTAAAACAGTGCTTAACCCTGTCAGAAACTGAACTGTGTGAAAGGAATGGTGTTGGGACAAGAGATTGCAAAACCGCAAAGGATATGTACAGAACAGGCAAAATAATCCAGACTTAAGAAGCACAGCTAAGGAAGTGTTTAGTCTGGTGACACAAAGGCTATGTTCTGCTCCTAAATTCATGCCGAGGGACTAGAAGAGCTCATAGTCTATAAATAAAAAGGATTCTACCGATTTTTTTAATTTGGTGTTCTCTAACGAGAGGTGTATAAAAGAGAAATTATCAGAACTCTACAATTGAGCTTCCTGTGCAGATAAAAAGGGAGTTAGGATTCATTTGCTGCAATGGTGAATAGTAACCTGCTATTAATTATTCAGTCTTGACTTACGTTAGTGTTGCCCTGTTGTTCCATGACGAACAAGACCTGAAACAAGTAGATGCTTCATGAAAGGAATTGATGAAACATCTAAAATAGATCCTTCTGCTGAAGCTACAGCTTCTAAGAGAAGGATTTCAAAGTCTTTTGGAACTGAGAATGATTTTCAGATCATGATATAAATCTCTAAATATCGGCTACATATTGTATAGACAGATGGGGATGCCCATCTGTTACTCCAGCTCACTCAGTGATGAAGTAACTTAGTTGCAAAGGAGTGGAAAGAATTGCCTAAAATGGGGGGAAAGCTTTGAATAGTACTGGTGGGTGACTTCAAGCAGGAGCTATGTAGGAATCCAGAGGGTCCCAAAAATCAGTGCAAAGGTGAAGTGAATTTAAAGCTCCTTAAAAACTTCTGCAATTCATGCAAGCTTGAAGGGAATGAGATTTTTCAGTCCATGGAATGTTGTTTGGTTGTGTTGGCTTTTTTTTTGTTACTCCTCGGAGAAAGTTTTCTGGGCAGAGACTTAAAAATGGGAACAAAATTCTAGCAGCTGCTCTTGTTGGCTACCTTTAATGCTTTAGAACTTAATTCCTGAATTATCCGGATTACTTACAAACTTCTTATTCATTGAACAGTCATTAGTCTAAACTAATTGGAGTATGGTTAGGATATGGAAAAGAAAAAGAACTTTTTTCTTTTTGCTAGACTCTCAGAACACTTGAGGATACTTTGATGCATAAAAATGATGATGAAGGTTTCAGGAATAAATTGGATGACAATGGCTGAATACAAGGGGTCAAATCTTTCTTCATGCACAGTTAAAAGGAGCTGTATTCTATGAACCTGAAGTATGGTTGTGCCGAATGTGTGTGTCAAGGGCTGAGGCTATAGCTGTCTCCTGTGAGCTGCTTTTCAGGCAGTCTGGCTTATAGTACAGCAGATGCTCAAGTTCCTGGTGATGCAGGGCTGTGTTTCCTCTACAGCAAAAGGAGGAAACTGCTCATTTGCAACAGAAAGTCTGTAATGAATTGCTATGAATGCAAGATAAATATGGATTCTAATCTTCTGGTTTTGTTCAGGAGCAATACTAGGAGAAAGGTCAGTTGCCAAAACCAGAAGTTGAGTCTTGTAAATACTGTAAAAATAAGTATAGGAGTAAGTGGATAGATCACAGTAGGGTTTTTATCCTATTGTGACATATTAATGTGATGATTGGGGGGTTGTAATGTGAAATTGAAACACTTCATGTCTGGAAGGTTTAGAGCTTAGTATCTGTTTAGAGGTTGGCTGATATGCTTGGACATATTTTTTAAACAAGGAGGGATGTCTACAGCAAGTTCAGAGCAGCACATCTGAAACTGAAAATGTACAAATGGTTTTCTGATACAGCTGTGGGAAAAAAGTACTAGGCCCATCACCCATTTCAGGTACATAAAATCAGCTTTGATATTGTATTTGATAATTGCCAGTGGACTTTGCAGTAGTACATGAGTTCTAAGGAAGAAGCTTTCTATGGCCAATGAAATCAAATTTTCCATTTTCAGGGTTGAGTTTGGTCCTGTAGTTGTTCTAGCCTTTTCTGCATTTCAAAAGTCTGTCCATAAAGAATGCAAGTTAGGCTTCACAGAAGAGCCTTTACAGTTTGGGCACGCAGCACAGTTGACCTGAGGACAGCTATTACAGTAAAAGTTTTAACTTTCTCAGTAGGAATTATTGCAGTACTTGACAATGATAAAGTCACTGGTGCAATGTGCATTTTTATTCCTTCCTTTCTTCATGTGGGTATGTTGTCAGCACAGATCATACAGAAAATTCCTGTAGGTCTAGGAATCTTGACCTTGGTTGAACACTGGAGTGTTTTAATTTGCACTCCTCAGACTAAGATATAAGCGTAGCAATGCTGCAGACCATATCAGGTGTCCTTCTAGTGCAGCTGTTAGCAAAGAATGTCCAGAAATGCAGAAATGGACAAGAATTAGTTATTTGAGCTATTAGTTGGGATTTATTTTCTATAACATAAGGAAATACAGGTGTTCTGTCAGCTATTGGAACAGCGATTATGGAGTAATAGATTGCAAAGTGTTTGGTTTAAGTGAAATAATCCTGTACCAAAAGAGCTTATTGTAAGCAGATAACCTGGCTGATGCATTCATCCTGCAGTGTAGTATCAATGCAGAATCCAGTGACAAGCCTTGCAGTTACAACAGGAAAGATTTAAAATTAACAAAAACCCACTCTGGTTGAGGGATGCCACTGCTTGTATAAAATTACTGAAGCATGTTAAGAGGTCCTCTGTGCTGAAAGCATGTAGATGTTCCAAAGCTATAAAATCTTCATGAATGTAAACCTTTTTTTCAAGTATAATTACTGCAAGGTGCACAAGAATGGCCTCTAAAAAGGGAAGCTTCCATTACAAGGATGTTTTCCTATTTTCCAGTGACTTGGGATTACTAAGAGGCTACTGGCATACTTGGGCATGAGTGTAAGTTTTCAGCAGTAAGTGTTGCTGATAAGTGTGGTTTAACTTTAAACTTAGAAATGGACGGTCATATCTAGTGCTAAGTAAATTTAATCATTACCAAAAGTATTCTTAAGCTGCTTTGCCAGGAGAGTTATGGGCAGATCCTTTTTCCAAAAATAAATTTAAAAAAAACAAAAACCCAAACAAACAAGCAACCAAAAAAACCTCCCTCAATCCTGGTCCTGATCGCTTCATGGTTGTTTCTTTTTTTCATTTAAATAAAATATTATGAATCAGCAAGTGCCCACAAAGGAAGCGTGTGTCATGTTTTTAACAATTGTAGCATAATGTAGTGTAATTTGTAACATAATGTCCTAGAGTACCTGTTTTGCTGGCATTTAAGGCTGAAGGCAGAATCCTACCTCTGCTTGTCAGCAGTTCACAACAAGCTGAGAGAATGTGCATTCTAAGAGAAATACCTTAATGGAATAGGATCTCATTTATTTTTTGGGATAAGTGCTTGTTTTGCTGGAGTGATATTTAAGGTTAATGTAAAATCCTCTTTTCAGGTTTACCTTTACTTGTGCAAAGAACAATTGCAAGAACTATAGTACTTCAAGAAAGCATTGGTAAGGGTCGCTTTGGAGAAGTCTGGCGAGGGAAGTGGAGAGGAGAAGAAGTGGCTGTGAAGATCTTCTCTTCAAGAGAGGAACGTTCATGGTTTCGAGAAGCAGAAATTTATCAAACAGTTATGCTACGCCATGAAAACATACTTGGATTTATAGCTGCAGACAACAAAGGTTGGTGATACTATGAATTCATTTTACTGTTTCTGTACCTCGTCAGAATAGACAGTACGTGAAGGGGAAAATAAAGTTGTGAGGATCCTGTTAAGAGTAGCAAGAAATGATTTTGTTACTAGAGCATTTCAGGGTTTGACAGGCTTTTCATAAGTTTAATGAAGGAAAAAAGTACATTGTCTCTTTTCAGGAAAACATGCTTTCTATACATTTGTTTAAAATGCTTTGGTGTCAAAAAGGAGATACCTTATCATGTGAGCCCACACATCTGTTGAATACTTGTACCTGTAATTACCTAATAGCCTAATAATATACATGCTTGGAACCAAAAGAGATCTAATCTCATTGTCCCGATATAAAGTAGGAGGCAGAAGATTTATTTTTAAGGCTGAGTTATGAGAAGTTTATTCTTTCAAAACTCCAGTTAAAAAATAAATTGGAAAAATGAAATTAATGATTTGTTCCTAGCAGTAAAAAACTATACCTGCTTTCTGGAGCTCTCCTGATAAGTCTTTAAATATCCACTAAGAGGAACAGTTTAAACATTTTTTTCAGCTTGAATTGTTGTGGCTACAGTAGATTAAAGTTTCTTGGATTTTCCTGCAGTCCAGTTTAAGATGCCAGAGTTTGGTAAAACCTAAACAAGTTTTGAATTTCTTACCTTAAGGGGAGCTAAGATGTTACACTGTTTCATTGAGTTACTTTCATCTGAAACTGCATGTTTCACCACAAATGGCCTTTGACTTTTTTGCAAAGAAAGCAGAAAATTCTGTCACCTTAAGGAGGAGTCAAGAATTCACACACATGCTGAATTCTTAAAGGGCTCTCAGTTTTGTGGGAAATTCCTAAATGGTTTTAGTGTAGTTGAAGTATATGTGTAAATAGAGGGGTTTTTTAATTACTCCTAGATTAATTTCAAATTTTTATATCTATATAAATCTGTAGAATTGGGACAGAATCCAAGAGATTGTGTGGAACGCTTCTCCAGGAAAGGATTACCTGCAGTTAACTTGCTCCTAACAGATATTTGTGCAGCTTGTTATCCTTCAAGAGCTTGCAGATCTATACCATACCAGGCAACTTCTTCCTGAAGCTTATTATGCTTACCATTAGAAACTGTCTTATTTTCATACTTAAAATTGTACTGGCTATTATTAGTACCTACAAGAGCTTGAGTTTTTTCTGGTGGACCTATTAGAGTATCTGGAGCCTGGGTTTAAAATTATATTAGTTGCACTAAAACCATAAATTAAAAGCCATCGATGCAGAAGCTTTAGCTTCTGTATGTCACTTAAAAACATGGAGGATGTATTACAATAGCTTGGCTATAACTTTTAACAAAATCCATCAGTGGTTAAGTATACCAGTCTCTCGTTTTGCCCAAAACCCTCAGGTAGTTTGTCCCAAAAATACACTTGACTACTCTGCAGAGGAGGTATGAGGAAGGCTTCTTAAATGGTTGGCTTTCAAAAATAATTTCTTGATTACTGTTTTGAGTTCCAGATGAAATAGCGTCAAGTTCCATTTGACTTGATCATCATTAGGTTCCTTTTAATATAATGTGATATGAAATTGTTTCTAGTTTCTACTGTTAATATGCTTTACATACAAAGAAGAAATCCTTAATTGATAGCTCATGCCATTATTGGAGGCTTTAGGGCTTCAAGGCAAGGCTCTTCTATTTTCTTGAGAACTAGTTGGTGACTGGTTTACGAAAAACGGATAAAAACATGTTTTGAAAATGCTGCAATTCTTGACTTTTTTCTAACAGTATTGCTGTCTGAGCAGATGTAGAAAGTTGTGTTATTTTTAACTCATCAATGCAAAATTAATTCTCAGTGTAACCTTGTACCTTCTCTCAGTGGGGAAATATGTACCCACCATTCTCTCTCTGGGTTAAGAATTCAGTCCTGAATATTAAAGGAGGTAAATACTTCAGCTCTTGCTAAGAATACTTCAGGCCACCTATATCCCATTAAATGGGAGGACCTAGAGGGACAATTATGGGGGTAGTTCTTTCAGTTTAGCAGGTGTGCTATCCTGGTACTCTGAAAGGGGCAGGTGTATTTTGCCTTCAGAGACCAAATTTGCCTTCAGAGACCAAAGGCTTAAGAACACCTGTTAACAGTCTTTCATTGTAGATGCTGGTACTAACTGATAAATACTTATTAGGTGCTGGGTGCAAGATGAAGTATTCTTTCACAGCGATAATATCTGTGAAGGATTTACATCCATTTCTCTGTAGGGCAGACTACTGAATGCATTCAGGAGTTCCTACAGCCTATCTGGAATGCACAAAGTCATTAGACTGCAAGATGTAACTGCATTTCTGAGACGTTGCAAAGATGACTACAAGAGATACAGCAGTACAAGTATTTTTAAAGTTGGCAAAGGACTAGTACAGCGGAGCTTTGAAACAAAGTCATGCTGCGTTTCTTGCTACTGCTTAAAGGCATTGTTTAGGTCTGTCCTTTTACTGCAACTGTATGTTTTTCACAACGGTGGGGGAACATCTGTCTGGCCATTGTAGTGTACAATTGGTGGAAGGGGTTCCTTTGGGTAGGAGGGTGTGTGTATAGATTAGAGCTTGTGACTGTCTTCACTTCTTGTTCTACTACACCATTTAGACAGTCCTCATGCCTTAATGGCACATTCTCTTCCTCTTCTTCCCCAGAGCTGCATGTTCAGAAGGCTATAGGAGCTGGTCCAATCTATCTGCTTCCCATCTCATAATTTACTGGGAAATAGGTGCTGCTATTAAGCCAGCTTGAGAGCTGAGAAGCAATGAATGATTTTTTAACTGCAGTTGTGTTCTGTGTGACAAGTGTTTGTGTTCTGGATAGCTCTGTGCTTAGCCACGAGTATACACTAACTTTCAAATACTGCTAGGTCAGAGAAATTACTTTCAGGGCTATGTGTTGTCTTGTTATGAACCACCTAAACACACAGTTTGGGTTTTGTGGGTTTCTTTTGTTTTATTTTGTTCTCTCTAACCCAGATATTTAAAGGTAAAGTGTATCAGGGACTACTTATCTATGCTATTCTACTAACAAAAGAGTAGTGACAGCAACCTTGGTTTACAGTACTAAAAGTTTCTCTTGATTAGCTGTCTGTAACCATAACTGTGTAGTCATGGTACAAGTAAGGCGAAGTCTTGTACTGCACGCTTCCAAAGCACTAAAATACTTTAACCTCCCTTCCACTTAACTGAAAGCTGCACTTCCCTTGGTGGAAGTTTTGTTCAGAGTACCTTTAATGGTAAGCAGAACCCCAGGAATGATGTTAAGCAACATGCTGCAAAGAAGTGAGCAGAATTCCTTCCTCTTGAGAAAAGTAATATTTGAGCCATTTATTCTTTTGAAGCTCTGGCTTTAGCCTGAGAATAAGGAATTTGACTGGAAGGTCTTGCTAATCTACATGGTTCAAGTGCTTTTCATCAATCTAATCAGATGACTATCTCAATGTAATAGAGTAAAGCTGTTTTGCTAACAAAACACCAATCATCCTCCAGTCACTGACATCTCCCTGAATATCTCATTTCTAAGAGTTTTCTCATTACACATTCCATCTGAATCTTATATTTTCACTGCTTTTTCATGTTGGGGTTTTTTTGTGTGTGTTACATTATCTCCATGCCAAAAAAGGCTAAATCTGTGCTTTAAAACACTTGACACATGACATGACACTACTGAACACATAGAATTAGGCAGTTTCTGTAACAACTTCTATACATTCAACTTGTAACATAAATGTATGTTTGAAAACCCTTGTGCCAAACAATACTGTCACGGCTTAAAACCTAGTATTTGATTTAAAAACAAACATGTACCAAGTCAGAATTTTTGCTTTGCTAATGCCAATGTGAAAGAAGCACTTTTCACTTAAGTGAATTCAGTTAATTGAATTTTAATTGAAACTTGATTATATATTTGATAAAGCAGTTGTTATAAATTCCTTTTTTCAAGAGTCAGCCTGACTAAGGTTGATGTTGCTGACTAAGGTGCTTCTCAAACTGTAATCACTCTCCTGATTAACAAGAAGTCTAAAAGCTTCTTTACTCAGAATTTCAATTTACTTTTTTTAGAATTCCAAAAGGAAAGCTTTTACCTCTGAGTGATTTTGATGGTCTAAAATACTTTTGGGTCTCTTGCAAATAGATGAAATAACCATAATTAGTCTCTTAAATGTATTTCTAATAACATATGTAAATTTTTTGTCATTTTCTTCAACATTCTGAAATTGCTTGAGATTCTTGATAGTTGTGTGTATATAAACCAAATTAGATTACCTTATCATGGAAGACTGTGCTACTGTATGTAATTACAACTGAATGTAATTACTTTTTCTTACCTGATAATGCAAATCCTGTGATTGAAAGCTTCATGGCAGATGCTGTTTACTGTGCAGCCAAAAATACTCAGGGTCAGGTTAATTATTACTTGGTAATAATTAACTGCTATCAACAGTATAAAAAGACTTAAGTTTATCATAGTGTGTTCTGCTTCATGTGCTAAAAAATTTTATAGCTTGTCAAATACAGCAAGGCAAGGAAAACATAGTAGGTCCCCTCTGATAGCTGGACACTGTATCTATTGCTGCATTTCAGCTTGTCTGTAATTAATATTCATGTAAGCTTGGATGCAAC